CGTTTATTGGAACACTGTAATTACCTTTCTTTGATGATTTATATACATTTAATAGTGTTAACGGCTATCTTGATTTATATTACTGTATATATTTATATATATTTGTGCGTTGAGTTGCATCTGGGCTGCTGAATAGAATCTGTGACAGCACCAATATGCCTCTGTGGTCAAGAGGTCGACGTTTGCCTTATTAGCGAAAGGTCCCCGGTTCGGATCCCACAGGAGACATTTTTCTGTGAAGGAGCTTATTTTGTTCAAGCGCTATGCCTGATACGTTCATAACATCATTTTGTTTTTTATTGAGCACCTTATTTGTTTATATTTTTATGTGTCTGTGTGTGTGTCTATATTTGTAAAGTCTAAAAAATAGACGTAAAAGTATAAAATACATATATGACGACTGCTACAGTTTACTTACGATATTTGGGTCTCGTAACCATATCCATGAAAACGTAGCTCCTCGAAAATGGGCAGAATTCACCAATGAGCTCAGAAGGCCAAAACACAGCAATAATAATACAGATTTGTTATTCATTTTTCACAATTCTTTTAAAAATTACAATTGGCACTAATCGAGGGATGTGCATAACTTTATGGATGTAAACGAAATGACGTTCACGATTCATATGTACATACGACTAACTGTATATGTTAATACTTCCTGGTTTACACATTATTTGCGAACTAGTGATTCCATTTAGTGTATATTTAACCATGGAGGTAAAAATTTAACAAGCAACGTTTGTACTTGTGACCTCAGGTAGTCTACAAGGAAATCCCCTAATAGTATTACCTTACCTTGCCAGCTAGCACACACTTACATTCCTTTCCACTCGTTCCTCCCATCATCCTTCCAGAACATTCGTTCCTCCCATCATCCACCCACATTTTAATACTAGTTAACAAGCAACAAGTGCTTCTGTCACTGTTAGAGTAAAAAGGAGCTTGTGATTGAGGTACAGAGAAAGCAGTGCCAGTTTTTTTAGAGGTCCTAAAATAGAGCCGAATCTAATTCTAAAACATTAGGCGTTTACGCGCCTGTCTGTATCTCTAGATTCAGTCATTTATTGCTACAGAAACCATCATGGGTTATCATCTGCCAAAACAAACATCACATCGTACACAAAAGGAAATTACTTGTCAGATGGCCCACCCCCTCCCTTAACAAACTATGCATTATGTGGTAGAGGCGTTACCTAAGGTAACCCGCATATAAACAACATATATGTCAATAATCACATTTTATGTGAATTTGTAATGATAATAGTCTTTGTTTTCGGCGATTGTCTTTATTATTCGAGAGCTTTCGCTGTTTCGAGAACCAATCCGAATATAACATTTCCCGTGGTATGGTAAACATTTAGGTCGATGTCGGTCTCTACAGCTCAGGAAACCACTTGTTTGTATAAGATGCATTACAATAAGAATATCTCCAATATCTCAAAGTGAGTATAGTTTGGACTCGTTTTGTATTTTTACATTGCCCATAATGGTACATCAAACCAGACACCCATGTGTAAGCATATTATTCCAAAACCCTAGCAGCAGGTACACCCCACAAACCCTTTCCCTTCACACAAGGGAGCTTTTGATTTGCGCGACTACGCGACGCTAAAACGGATTCTCTCATGAGTGACCCGCCTACATTCTCTGCACAACGTAGATTTGGTCAGATTATTGCGTCCGATAATCCATGCGACGAGGACATGCGCAGATGACTTCACGTGACATCATTATGCCACCATCTCCTACCGTCGTCGTGCTATAGAAAGCTCCATATTACCAAAAACTATCCACACAGCCAAGCATATATTTATGTCAGATTTTCAGACACATAGAAATATACATTCGGACTATAATAATTAAAGTTTAGTTAATCAATATCCTATGCTTTGACATTGGGTCGGCAAAAATTCACAGTTGCAATTAACACTACAGCTTAGCACATAACAGGGAGACATAAATCGATTAATTCAAATTTTAATTAGTAAAACTTAAACACTTGGTACCAGTTACATAAAAAAATAAATTTCCTACTATTTTATTTATGCTTTTATGCACAAAAAAAGTACAGCGATTGTGCATTAGGTTTGTAAACGAGCAGTAGGCGTACCACGGGCCGTACCAACGGCACATTTTGATATTGAAAACATTTACTCCTCCAGAGCAGCTTTACTGTTAATGCTTTCTTTATATTAAAGCATGAAACTACAGCTCTCTTTAGGAGAAAATGTACATGCTATCTTTTGATATATGACATGGCTGTACATTTGAATTTAACAACCAAGAGGCCCATGTATTAATTTCGTTTACACAGTCCACAGCATTCCAGTTTTTCATACGTATACAAGGAAACAGTTAATTTATGTGTTCATATATTATTTAAGAGCCAGTCTTGACAGAATGTGATTTCGATTGAACTGTTCATTTAGCCATTGAGATATTGACATTAAAATAGTATAGCTGTTGCTGGTTGGTACAATATGAACAATAGCTGTCGCTGAACTATATAATCTGCATTCACGGTTTGTTGCTGGTTTGGAAAAGGAAGTACAGGTAGTATATAATATTGTTTATACTAGAAATTGCAAATTGCAAGTGAAGTGCTGCGAAGTACGATTGCATAAAATGTTCTTCGAACAAAATTATTTATGCGAGTCAAGTGAAAATAATGAATAATAAAAAAATAACAAATAATATGAGCACGACCCATTGTCTATATTAGAACCATGTTAGAACAGCGTTGGTACCGTGTACAATAGTGTTTTGCTGCAGTGA